AAAAAAAAAAAAAAAAAAAAAAAAAAAAAAAAAAAAAAAGATTTTAAACAAACATTTTTTATATTTTCTTGTGAAAAAATTTGGGTTAAAAATTTACAAATGCTAAAAACAAAAACAAAAAAAATAAATCCGAAAAAAAAAATGTGGTCACCAATTTTTCCACGTCAAAAATTGATTGCAGCATAATGAAGTCATTTCAACGCCTACTTTCCCTCCACTACAGAAAGATTGCCCGATAATTTGAAATTTCAACCTACACTTTGCACAAATTTTGTATTTAAATATTTATTTTTCCTGCCCAAAGACACACATACATACGTGTACACAGGAGATGCACGCTTCCTTTCGTCAAGCGTCACAYAAGCGTCAAGCCGAGAACCCCTCAGCACTGATCATAAATTTCACGTACGTATGGACATTTTTCATTTATGTGGCAGGTCTCCGGTGTACGTGTCACACATATGCAATTCGTGTATGCTACCACAAAGTGTGTCCCTACGTCGCAATGAAATAGTGAAATTTGCAGTCAATCGATGCGTGCAAATATTTATGRTGGCCATAATGATTTTTTATACAAACAATTTTAGTGAAGCAACAAATTGCGCGTGCAACCCCCACAATTGCAGGCAGCGATCAACCGAAATACAACACACACACATGCGCGCACGTACATAATTGATGTATGCACCGTGTAGCATGCCGCATAGGTTTAGTGCAGCAACGTCTTTTGGTGAGTCAGAGACGCGGTGGCAGACAACGTCGCTGGCGTTACTTGGTACTGGGTGAAAATTAACAAGGCGTAATTAAAAATGTGCAACGCATGCATGACAATGAGGAAGCGCAGCAAAAATGAAGCAGAGAAATCGTAAAAAAAATATGAACCCAGTGCGGAAATTGAGTTTTCTCCTTATAATATCACGCACACAAACATTATGTAAAGTGAAATAGCAACTATCGCATGCCAAGCGCTSAACGCAAGCTGACTGCTGCTGCTTATGCATGTGCGTTTGTATATCTACYGGCGTAGTGTTTGCTGTTTATGCCGAAAATGCTGAGCTCACGCAATTTTTCCTCACTTAACATACTGGCCATGCGTCCATGCTGGGCGTTTAATTAGCACAAACATGGGTGGACGCTTGCTTCGGTCCTCTGCTCATTTAGCTCATCATATTTTGGCGTTGTTGTAATGAAGATGTTTATCGAGCCGCATAATTTAACATAAACCAACAGCTAAAGTAAATCTTAATGTTTTGCTTAAGTAAATACAATTTATGCGTTGACTATTTGAGGGCATTTATAGGCAGGTACCTAGAGCACCCTTCGAGCGAAGTGCAACGCAGTGGTGGCTTGACGCACG